ATTTGGAAATGGTCAAACGCTGTCATTAAATATCATTATCCGATGGTGTTTTCAAAATGAATTTTAAAATAATAGCTTTTGACATTTTTTGTGGAGGGCGGCAGGGAACAGTGTTATAAAGTGTGAAAACATTAATACCACGTTCGTAGACATCAAAAGGAAAGGATGCACGAATCTCAGTAACCTTTTAAAACCCAATGGCTATATGATAGTATAGTATCTAAACGCTGTATATGTTTAGTTAATTGGGTTTTTAGAGATATGTCAAATGCTGTGAAAAAGTATTGACAATGTTAGCTGCCATTGCTGTAGTATTCGTTCCTCCTCAGTGCGAACCCTTCATTGTATCACGTGACATTACAATAAATGAGTTCTATCCAACATGGCGTCTGGTCATTGAGAGATCTTACAATTGCAACTGGTGAAAAAGGTTTCTATTGTATTCGATACAACTTCCAGGGTTTTCCGAGACAAATTTAGCACCATTCTAACTCATAACATAACTTTGAGGATGGTTAGATCTGTAGATTTTTATGATAATTGTTTTTTTTTCTCAATATTCTCGAGGTTTTTGGTCTTACTATCCGTCTTACGTGCGCTGTTTTCACAAAATAAGACAAAGAAATGTCTGTTGGGCGCTAAGTGGGGTTTAAAACAAATGTTTACTAATGGATCATGCGTGCAAAAAAAAAAACAATCATGACAGCGTGGGAGCTTAGCACGAGAGTGATGTAGAACAGTTGCTCAAGAAACCGTAGTATCTTCATGATTATTTTGATAATAATGATTTTTCTCGACTGTAGCTAAGATTCTCTGAAAAAAAAAAAAAAAACAAGTCTTAGAAGAAGAGAATTTTAAGATTTGATTTGTTGGATAAGTAACCAGTGAGACCAATTCCTATTCAGATTAGATCTGTTAATACAAATATGCATTGACTAATTATCATCATTTTTAAAGTGTTTTAAAATTAGTGTTTGCATTATATTTCAAACAGTTATCCAGAGATAGATTGATCAAAAGCACACTGAGTAGATAAATCTAGCAATTTCGAAATTTAAGGACGATGCCATGGGTTATTACTATCCACTGGATTTTACAAAGGGAATTGAAAATAATAATGCCCGTCTGCAGTCACTGGATTGAGAAATCTCAGTAGCTTTATAAAGTTCCAACTGTCTTGATATTATGATATCTCACTGCTGTTGTCTTCGGATAATTGGCTTTTAGAGGAAATGTCAATTTCCAAGTATTGATATTGACAAGAACAGTTGCTGGTGAAAAGGGTTTCCATTGCAAATGTCTTCAACTTCAACGTTTTTAAACTCTCCCTAAACTTATATCATAACCGTGACCGTGGTTGGATATCTGATCTTAATTCTGTAATTTTTTGCGATATTACAGTTTTCGTTTTTCCTTAAGTTTTAGAAAATATACCAATAAGCGAAAGATTTATCCAAATGAGCGTATTTCTACAGCTTTCAGGTGTGGCTGACTTGATTGACAATCCTATAATTGGCAAAGTTAATAATTTTTGATAAATGCAACATTTGCCTGTGTACACAAAAAGCTCTTAACCTATGAAAATAC